TCATGGGCAAAAATAGTGCGTGTTTAATACAGGTAGTGCTGAAAGGGAGCGGGAGAGGGGCCCTCCTTCCAGAGAGTCAAGACCCGAAAAGCCTTGAAATTGACATTTTCCTTTACAATTCTTTGCCTTTGCTTATATCACTTCCACAAACACCGTGCTCAAAACTGTGTGTTGGGGGGTGGAGGGTGTTCAGAGATGCAAAATTTAGCCTTTTTCCAAGAAGTGTACAGTTTAGGAGGGATATGTAAAACTTACTCGTAAACAGCTGTAATGCAAATTAGAATTTGGAATAGATGCAGCCTAGCATGTATGTTAACAGCTTGCTTCTAGGAGTCAGACAGAGTTGGAGTTTGGGTTGTGACCCTACCACTTATTAGTAAAGTTGTTCTAGTAAAGATACTTAACTTCCCTAAGACTTAATTTCCTCATCTGTAACATCAGAGTAACAACCTGCATGTATTATTATACATAATTGTGCTCATGATATAGTTATGTAAATGATTAAAGTTTGTGGCACAGAATAATTGATAAATAAATTTAGCCTTTATAATTATTATATATTTATATTTTAAATAGTTTCAGTTCTCTCTCTGCTCTAATAAGAGACTGCATTTTATATTGAAATATTGTTAGTAAAATTGTGAAATGGAGAAAGTTCAGGATGTCTAGGGAAGTGGCCAGGCCCATTTTGTCCAGAGTCTGGGCTGCGTGTGGAGAAGTCCTGAAATATGAGATAAATCTGGAAGGGTCAATTAAGTTGAAGCTTGAAGAGTTTTTTGAGAGATAAACTGAGAAATAACTTGCAAATCAGATAAATAGTCATGGAGTAAACTTTATTTTGTAAGTGTAGTCAGAGAACTTAAGACCTAGAATATGGAAAAATTACTTTAGTTTCAATGACATTAATAGGAAATAGCAAAACAGTATTATTGAATCACAAAGAAATTATTGTTTGTGATTTATTATGAAAATCCTCTTGTCATATTGTTCTGTATAGCAAAAGTTGTTTCAATATTATACCATTGAAAATCATGAATGGGGGGGCGGATGTGGGGTGGAGGGGATCAATGGGGGGAAAGGGAGATATCTGTAATACTTTAAGCAATAAAGATAAATTTAAAAAAAGAGAAAGTCATGAACAGATATAAATATAGCAAATTTAATTTTCCTTCCTTTAATCTTAATAAAATCTAGGAGTAATTGATAGTAGGGAAAAAGATAATTATAAGAATAAATCAGTGAAAACCATGTTTAAAACTTTTTAAAGTACTTATCTACAATTTAATATACAGCTTTTATTTATTTTTTATTTTTTTATTTTTTTAAAATGTATCTTTATTGATTTTAGAGAAAGGAAAGGAGAG